ATTTTTAAATGGGTTTAATATATCATGCAGCCTTGGAAAACAGACTAATAATGTGTTTTATACCTTCTCGTTTGAGAAATGCGTCACTTCCGGTATTTTGCCGGTTGATGTCAACCGGCAAAATTAAGTCGAGGATTTAAAAAAATCGAATAGTCGAATAAAATCGATGAATCGCGACAGCCCTAGCTAAAATATTTTTTAAATTATTTTTTTTTATCTAAACAAACATGCATGTCAACACAATGGGCAATACTGCATCACTAAAACTTATCGCGGTCATGTCCATATTTCGTACGATAAGTCAATATAGTAATTATCGCAACAGGCCTAGCATCAACAGCATTTTTTCCCCTCTTCTCATATATGGCATGGTGGGCCAAATTAAAGGTCACCATGGGGCAACTTTGGCCCACGGGCCCAAGTGTGGGGATCTCGGCTCTAGAACATCAAGAGTGTGAAACAGACACACCAATACAAAGGGAACAATACATAAAATTTGGTAACACTTTACAATAAGGTTTCATTTGTTAACATTATATTAGTTAAAATGAACAATTTTATATATCATTTATTAATCTTAATATTAAGTTCAACATTTACTAATACATTATTAAAATTTAAAGTTGTATCTGTTAACATTACTTAATGTACTGTACATGAGCATGAACATTTTTATGAACTAGCATTAACAAAGATTAATAAATGCAGTAAAAATATATTGTTCTTTGTTAATTCATGTTAGTAAATGCATTAACTAATGTTAATGATCTATAAGATTTTTTTAATGATTTTAATGATTTATAAGCATTTGTGAAATAATTATATAAAACTATATTACCAGCACAGTACATATCAACTTATTCTATGTATTTGTTTGTCATTCTAACTAATGGAAAATTAGTAGCAGAGGATCAGGCTTATAAGGCTTATAAGATTTAAGGCTTAAAGATGTCTTATCCATGAATTGCTGACTTCCTGTTTTGTGTTGAGTTATGAGTTACACTTTGAAAGTTGTTCAGCTACATTAGAGATATATATGTGTACCAAGTTTCATATGCATACGTGCAAGTATGTATGATATATGGACCACAACATTCTAGGGGGTGCTGTAGGGCCCCTCTGCCTGTATACCAGACTCTGTCCGGCCCTAATAGCGGCAGATTCCAAGCTGTGTGCCGATTTTTTAAGAGTGTTTGAGCATGTTAAGGGCCCCAAAAGCCCCAAAAACCTTGAAATAAATAAATAAATATAGCTGCAAGCAGTGATGACGGGCCCAAGCCACCAGTGCAACCGCCACCCTGGTGGCATCAGGAAAACGGTGCACAGCTGTAACAGTAACCCTCTGGCAGTCTGGTTTTAAGGGTTACAGCAATGAAAGTGTTACACTAACATCAAGCGTGTGGAACACACACAAAGAACAATATACAAAACTTGGGCAACACTTTACAATAAGGTTTCATTTCTTAACATTAATTAACTATATTAATTAACATGAACAATAATTATATAGCATTTATTAATGCTAGTTAATATTAAGTTTAAAACTTACTAATACATTATTAAAATTAAAGTTGTATCTGTTAACATTAGTTAATGTACTGTGAATTAACATGAACATGAAAATTTTTATTAACTAACATTAAAAAAGATTAATACATGCTGTAAAAATATATTGTTCATTGTTAGTTAATGCATTAACTAATGTTAACAAATGAGACCTTATTGTAAAGTGTAACCAGAACTTTTTATGGTCTATAAGGATTTTTAAAAATGATTTTAATGATCTTTAGGCATTTGTGAAATAATTATATAAAACTGTATTACCAGTACAGTATATATGAACTTATTTTACTTTTATTTTTATTTATTTGTTTGTAATTCTAACTAATTGAACTGAGCAGTAAAGGATCAGTCTTTAAAGATTTCTTATTCTATGACTCCATCTGGTGGACAACCTTAGTATTACAGCCTTCATCTGTCAGCTGAAATGTCTAATAGTTTTTTAATTTTCTGTTGGTTCCTTAGCGTTATAAATTTATGAAACTAAGCTTGTTTCCTAAGAATGACTTGCTCTCCATATGTAAAAAGTTTGGAAGAGTTTGGATAATGCACTTTAAAGATATAAGAAAATTACTGTTATCTTTTTTACTGTTAATTTAATAAATCGCCATGGCAACACTATTCAAGATATCCAAAATTAATTCGCAATTTAGCATCTTCAGTATCTTGGCATCATGTTGACAAAGTTTAGCGTGAATTGCATGATTCTTGCATGATTAGAGCGCCTCCTCCACACCCATTTCTGAGCTTTTGTCAATGTCTAACTATCATTAATACTGGTATATGTATCCAGTTTCATGAAATTCTAAGCATAAGTGCCTTAAAAACACCTGAAAAGAATATTCAATTTTGACATGTTGCCATGGCAACATTATTTAAGATATCAAGAATCCCTTCGCAGTTTTACATCTGCCGTGTTTTGACATTATTCTGATGAAGTTTGAAGCAAATCGAGTAAAAATAAGAGGTTGATTTAAAAGCATTTTAAAAGTGACACACTTCCTGCTGCCAGTTGGTGGGGCTACAACTTTTACTCATAATAGTAACATCGATGTGATCGGCATCCTACCACGAACAAACTGCTAAAGTTTCATCAAAATCAGGCAATGTACGTGCAAGTTATTAGACACTTCCTATTTCCTATTTTTTGCCATAATTTTATCGCCTCACCACAGCCAAACCATTTGATATATCAAAAGTCCCTTCACAAGTTACCATCCCCAATGTCTTGAGGTTATGTTGACCTAGTTTGGTGACAATCGGATGAAAAACCTAGGAGAAGTATTAAAAAGTTTGATGCATGTGCTCATACCCTGAATAGCTCACTTCCTGTTGGGCGGAACATATGACATGCAGTGTGAAATATGTTCAGCTCAGTGAGATCTATATGTACCGAGTTTCATGTATATGTGCAAGTATGTATGTATTATACAGCAAGTTTTCTGACTGGGTTCCAGGGGGCGCCGTATGGTCCCAGCCTCTGCAGTGTCCTAATGACCGCAGATTCCAATGTGTGTGCCAATTTTCAAGAGTTTTTGAGCATGTTAAGGGCCCCAAAAAGCCCTGGATAGGAAGGAAGGGCAGTGTGCATGCACAGGGGGA